TAGTAGAATAGATTTTGCAAATCACTTTGCGTTTGCATGAATAGGCGAATATTTGTCCGATAAGCACTACTTTTAAGTGCCCGAAACTATTTTTATATAAAAATTATAGAAATTATAATTGTTTATTTCGAGGATATATTCTTTTGATATTGAAAATTACTTGCATGAAGCTTAATTAACTACTAGTAACGGTTAATTATGTAGTGAAAACGCTTATAATGTTTGATAATGCAGGTGTAATCAAGACCGTAAACAATCTTCTTTAATAGATAGAAATCAGCAATTGAAATCTTTTTAATAAAAATTAAACCGTGTTAAGAAAACTGCTAGATTCACATTGGTGGTTCCGAATCTTCCAAGCAGCATTTAAAATATATATTTTTGCATTCAAAAAATATGTGATGCATTTGATATTACTATGTTCAAAAATGTTCATTTTTATGGTTTTACCAAAACCGTCCCACTCTTTAGGACGTCTTAATTACTCATAAACAGTTAGTCTTTTTGTGAATGTCACATCACATTCACCTTCGTAATCCTTTTAGTCCGCTGTCAACGAACAACCACTTTTAGGCAGAAATACAAAAATAAGACAGGCGTGGATTCGTTCATAAAAATAATAATAAACATATAATAATAAATTTATTTAGATCATTAATTCATTTTTACATCATATGCTTGCCAAACTTGTTATCAAAAATAATTGTTTATTTGTATAAAAATTGAAGAAAAATAAATGACTTTCATCAAGCTTTTTTGTGAAAATATAAAAATGCTGAAAACTAATTGTATATTCAGTTTGTTCCAAATTTTGGTTTATGCTAAATCTATTGTCGTAATAAATGATATTTTATTTAATTTATGGTCGGTGGAAGTGGAATGATGCAGTAATGCATTGGAGATCTGGTTGATTATACAATGTTTTACCTTTTGTTTTTTAAATATTTGCTTATAATTCGGCACTGCAAAAAAATCTTGGTAATTGCAAGGCAGGCGTTCCGCCTTTGTGCTTCTGTTCATGGCGACTACCTGGTATAGTCTTGCCTTCACCAAACTTTCGGGCTCTCCTGTTCCTCTCTTATCACACCGCAGGCGAACAATCTCACCGAAAGTCCTCCACCGCTTCGGGTTGGTGCTGCCCGAGGAATGTAATTGCATGTGCAAGTGCACACGGTACATGTCCGCTTCCGTTATCGCGAAATTCAGTGCTTAACAAACTTTAGGAAAATGATGATTGAACTTTATAAAAAAAAACAAATACTTTGAAAAATAAACAGTTTGTGTGTGAAGTTTCAAGTTGTATATAAATTACATTGAATAATTCAGTAGTAATGTAAAACAGTAGGGAAATTAATTAACTAATTTGATCATTACGTTCTTTGTTTCACAAATCTGATTCTTAAGGCTTTCTTTTACGTACATAAAATGCTCAATGACAAAAATTAACGCTATTGTCCTTATGCTGAATCGTTCCAATGAATTTAATTTGATTATATTGATAACCAGGTTTAATCTTATATCTTATCAATTATTTAATAGGCGTCTAAACAGATAGTAGCCAATTTTCAACAAGAAAAGAAAAAAGCTGGAGAGAAACTGGTTTTTGGATAACACCTGATTAGAAACTAATATAGTTTTTGAATATTATCTCGAACACTATACTTACCATACTTACATTATATAGTTAGTTAGTTAGTCTTAGGTTAGGTTTATAAAAATGTTTCTTGATTTATTTCTCCTAGGGCAGTGGTCGAGGAACCGGGGTAAATTACAAATTGGGGTAAAAATTAATTTCTTGTGGGTAAATAGTACATATTTTTAATCGATATTTACTGTACTTGCTACGTAGTTGTCCGTATGGAGGTAATAACAACTCAGACAAAAATATTTTGGGGTGATGATTAGAAAAGTCCCTGGTCTCTTTTCTAAGGTGTCACAACTGTTGTTTTTCGGTGCAACAATTTAGGAACAGAAAAGTCGAATAGCAAAAACTAATGTTGTTTTCGGTTGGAGCTCCAACTATTATTGTGACATAGACAAGTTTTCTTGGTTCTCCTCCCCTGTGGTGAATGGAGATTGCAAATAGCAACGGTGGTGACCGATGTAATTGCAGCATTATTATGTTTATTAAGTTAATGCGTTCCCTTTGGAACGTGTGAAGTGTGAATCGGCCAATTGCAACACAGATAATAATAATCGCTCTTTATTTAATTGCAAGAGAACTTCGCAGTTTTCCATGGCACATGCATTCTGTAATGGGATTTGCTTTTGCATGTAAATAACTGTACGATAGCATTATGTATTAGAGGCAATTCGCAATTGAATTGAAATTACGATGTTATGGTGAAGTTTTTTCTTTTAAATTTTTTTGTGTTGTAAATTGGAATTATGTTATTTCATTAAACCTTTGCATATGCCATATATTTTATCTTAATTCTGAAAACTTCCAATTTTAATACATGTATAAATCAGCTCACTTCGGGCTGTACAAAAATATTGTATCTACATTCAAATTCAATCAGCAATATAGTTTACAAATACACAGATTAACAAAAAATATTAGTCTTTTATTTGTATAAAAAATATAAATTTATTCTTACTTTAATATAAGATGAATAACCTAATGATATAAATAAATGTCACTATAATAAATCACATCTCGTTTAGCAGATCTGTAGTAAAATAACTTGGCAATCTTCCAAAAATTCTTCAAGCATATGATTGAGTTCCAATGACATTTGGTTTCAAACTAATAACTTCGAATATCGAGTTATAAGATTGATCATTATACACAAAAAATATAAGAAAGTTTTTTGAAACGTTTGTTAAATAATTGCTATTAATTCAAAATTTGTTATCAAAAAAATATAATTTAATTTTAATTGACAATACGGTTGTATCCGCAATCTGTGTCATTTTTTATTTTTATCACTAATTGTTAATCTTGTAATTTATAGCAATTTGGAATAAGCTTTCTACAAGCAAATATTTTGATTTTAACAGCATGCATATTATATAAATAAGTAATTACATAGTTATAATAATCTAACTTAAATTTAAATTAAGTCTGGAGCCTTAGTATTAGATTAAATGTCTGTAATGAGATCTTCGTGGTAGATTAAAATGTTCACTTGGCGCCGAACGATTCATGGGAAGAAGATTTTATCTAAAATCACGAATATAATAAAAAATGATGTTTAGTAAATTAATGTCACTTGACACTATCCATCCAATCTAATTCTGAAATCAGGTTTTAAATAATTACTTGTAATTGCGCGCGGTGATTATGCAGGTGAGAATTTTGACAAATATATTGATTAAATTAGTTTTTGTCAGATTAGAAAGTAGATATATTTTTAAATTTTAAGCTCCCAAAAATAGTTTTGATTGCTGTCCAAATTATAAAAAATAGGTTACACAAAATCATACATTTGCTAGTACCATTACTACTACCATTATGTTTTCATGGATGTTTTTCAGGAATACCCACGCGATTTCTTATTCTAATAGATATTTTTACAGACTTTTACAATATTAATGCCTATAATACAATTAAGATAAGATAATATTTATGGTTTTATCAGTGATAATGTTAGTGCTGAACAAACACAGTCGCACGTTGACTGGAAGTGATTGTGGATACCGAATTTTCATATTCAGTAGTTATCTGATTTTGTATTACGAAATATGGTGTAATTCGTATTGGTGACTGTAAAAATGGTATGGTAATGGTGTTATAAGTCATGATTGTTATGTAGTATTTATGATGTGGTGACTAATTTATTGTGGATGATATAGGATACAAGTTAATTTTATATGCACTTGAATGCACAGTTTGTTTAAAAGTAGACAAACTTAATAAAACTTAAAACCTTTGGATCTAATCGAAACATCTATTCCTTCAAATTTAAATTTTGTCTTCTTCTAAATCGAATTTGAAATTTATCAATATTCTTATGACATCATTTGGAGATGGGATTAGATTCAAAATTTAGAACTATTGTAACAATCTTACATCTTTCATTAAGAATAATTTATGTTTCTATACGAAGCTCTTAAAACATTTGAACTTCTTGTTATAACTGTTAAAGTGTTGAAATCATTTTCTTCATTTTTGTTCAAGTTGGTTAAAATTCTCATTTTATCCTATGTTACCCTTTTTGATGGAGCTTTCTATCTTATCCAAAATATTTATTTTCCTCTATATGTTATTTTTGTCTAGCCAAATGCGTCTAATTATTGCAATATTTTTATCCAGGATTATTATTGTCATTCGAAAGTAATTTGCGATAAGAGAACAAAATAAATTGTTTTCGTGATTCGTAATTGTGTGCATTTACGATGCCATCAAAAATATTTTTTCTTGTTATATCAGTAAATATTTGAATGTTTTATCAAAATTAACTAGATCATCGATTATCATTCTATGACAATATTGGAAATTCTAATGATAGAAAATGGAAACAAGGTTTCGTTTATGTTGAACTTGAGGTTTAAGTTTGGGTTGTGCGATATCTGCAAATCCTTTGTACAATTTCTTGTCCTGGTGTATGACACATTTTTATTGTCTGTCAATTACAATCTGCTCTGCAAAGCGTTTTAATATATTTTAAAAAAGCTGAATGAAAACCCCAGAGATAAGTAAAGAAGATGCAAAATCAAGATAAAAATTTATATTAGCTGAAATCAGTTTTTCACGCAATAATATTTGAACTTGTATCTTTATAAGTCTACGAGCATAATTGTGATTATTATTAACCTTGCGGTGTCTGATAACAGGTGCTACAAATTTGGAACTCGATTTTCTGCGCGAATTAGTTCTTATTTAATAGATTGTAAGGAAACGTTTGAAATAGATATTGTCATTGCTGGATGACTTTCTCAAACATGTAAATTATTATAGAACTAAACATTGATTCCGAAAAATTATCATATATTTAGCAATTTTTTTATTCAAATTAATAATTGACACTTTTTAACTCAATGTTATTCATTTTCAGGATATGGATTTAATAGAAGTCCTGTGGAAACAGGACGTGGATCTTGGATTTTCTTTGGAAGCTAATTCAGAAACCAAAGATGAGGTGAGACATTTTACATTGATTATTTGTCTTTAATATTACAGTTTGTGGATTGTATTATAATCATTTTAAAGCCATTAAAGTCCTAAGCACGTGTGTTTCTAATCATTTTATAATTATTAATTTATCATTTTCCAATTATTAATAACGTGTTCACAATTGTGTTTTAATAAATGTTGTTCATTTTAACTTTATAAATCTTGTCTATTAATTGCTCTTGAGAGGTTTGTTTACTTATTAAGAGGTTTCTATTACATTGCAGTTTTAAATTGGATTTGGTTTAAAATATATAATTTGAATTTTTTTTAACAGCTGGAAATTGCCTTTACTATAATCATTAAAATCTCATTTAAATGATTCATAAAAATTCCTATTTGTATGATTAATTTACAAATATTTATTCTAGATATATTTATTATGTTTAATTTAAAAGTTTTTGTTGAAGGCCGATTCGAATAGCAAAACTTGTCCTGAGTCTGCGGAAAAGCTGAAATGTTTACAGAAACTCAAAGAAGAAGCTACTGATTTGCAGGTAAAACAATTGAAATCATTAATGAATTACAGCATGATCATTGATTTCTGCTTTATGTATTTTTTGTTTTGTTCAATTTTTCCTAATTTTAATAGTAGCTTAAGATATTTTAGTCATAAATAAAGCTATTTGAGTATATTTGTATAATCAGGTTTGAACTATTATGTGAAACTATCATTGATAATTTAAAATGAACTAAAATATTGTTTTTTATTTCATACAGGATGAGCCACCAATAGATGATCCATGGGCTGGACTATCATATACCATCGACATGGAAACTGGTAAGTGTATTTTAAACGTTTATGTTTGTACGAAGACTGAGCTTTAAACATCTAGAAAAATAATATATTATTTATTTATTAATATTATTTTAGCTGTAACTCAGAGACATATTGATTAAAATTGATGTTTAAACTTTAGTCTTCGATCTTGCTTCATTTATTTTTTCATCAAAGAGATAGTGCCAATGCATAAAAAAATATACATTGCCGTTTTTATTTCTTTTTAATTTTTACGAAATAGTAATAAAAGCAAATATATGAAGCTAATGAAGCAAATTATTATTAAATTTTTAAATTAAAATCATCTGTTTATATAAATTTTATAATGTTGTCTTTATAAATGGGTGTGATTTTATTTATGCATTGGCAAGACTCCTGAGTAGATCATGTTTCAATTGTTAATATGAATATTCAATTTGAAGGTATTTTGACAATATAGTATTTCATTCTTGTTATTTTTATCATCATGAAAAATCCACTTGATCGTATAGTATTATCATGGCTCTTCTTGAGCATATCTGCCAATTAGGGAAGACTAAATGTGGAGAGTTCAAATCAAATTATGAATAGAAATCGTGCCATGTATTATAATTATGATATCGAGTTATTTGTAACAAAATAAAGTAGATACATAATAGCTACTGTCGATATGATACTGCACTTCATTCAACAAAATTGCACAGTGCATATAAATCCAATTACCAATGAAATATTAATTAAATGAGCATCGAACAGAATTATTCGCGTGCGATCGCCCTTCGATTCAATCATTGATTCAGTTATTACTGAATTATCATTCCGATTATTATCTCAAGAAATGAATTAGACTGCCTTGAACCGCCAGTGCAATTTTCATGAAAATTATACCTTATGGTAATATATTTCTAGGCGAGGGTTGTATGTTACTTATGAGGCACGTGATGGTTATAATTGAGTCATTGTGGTAATGCACTTTCTTGCATTGAAATATTAATTATTTTATAATGTTAATTTCAATATTTATTTGAATTATTTTTAAAGAAATTTTGCAAATTCTTTTTGGAGTTCTTATAGAGGCATCTATTGGGTTTATCATATATTAGTTGCAAAAATCTGATGTGTCAAAACAAAGTATAGTGATAACTTTTGTTCAATAATGAACTACCAAGTACCCATTACTATTTTGATATTTAGGAAAATAATGACTAATGTTCTCTCACCTATCAATTTCATGCAGCATTTGCATCACAATACTTTGGCATTTGGATATTATGACTCTGATACTTGTATCAATCTAGCCTTAAGCCATATGCATTGAATTATGTTCAATTCAACCTTTTTATCGATTATTATAATTGGAAACTTGAATGCAAAACAAAATGGCTGTATACGATCGCCGTCTCCCAAATATCCGACTACAATTCACGATTTCATCATTATATTCGTGGCCGCGTGTATTATTGGTCGTACCACCAACTGTGACGGATTTTTATAATTAGTCTCCGTGTTGGCGTTTCATTAATATGAAACCGCCTGTCAAGGATCACGGAGCTTTTTTATCTTATGTAAAATACATGATATTACATGCCATGTAGAAATATGATTAATCGTTTTTGTATAGTGTTCATTTTACATGGGCAGGTATGTAGGCGCGTACGTGAGCCGGATTTATAGACAAAGATCGAATAATAATTCGAAGAAATTTGCTCATTTTTAAATCATTTTTGTTTTTATTGTAAATTACAAACTGTACTCAGAATTTATTGAACCATATTCTTTATTGAAAATATGATCATTTGTTTCTGATCTTTAGAATTGAATTTTTCTCGGTGGAGTTTTTCTCGGTGTGGAATTTTTATTTGTGAACTAAAATAATGCACTTGCATCAATTTTACAACAAGCTAATCATTAGCTATTTATTCGAATTGAGATTTGAACTTGGCCCTACGCGAAATAAACATTATATCCGCATCTGCGTCGAAATTATACAGAAAAGTAATTCATATTCAGAAGCAAAGGCTTTTAAATAATTCCGTTGTACGCTTACATATTCATAAAATCTTTTATATGCCGGCGATATATAAATACATTAAACGACGGGAGACGGCAAGATTAATGAATCTGTTTTTAAATCTCCCGGGCTGAATCAAGGGTGAACCCTGGGCTCTCCCATTGGACGAGGAAATGTAATCAATATGGCCGCTCTTTTTCGCTAACAATACGAAAACCAGGCCAAAACGATCGCAAGATTCTTTATTGAGATTAAAATTGTTATATATCCGTTTATAATAACTGAAATTTCCTTTGTGAATTCATAATAAGCGAAACTGTCAAACGCTGCGTGATAAATAACGCACGTATTTTGGGGATTTTTCGAAATTCGTACACTTTGTGGGTGGAATAAACGATTTCGTATTCATTTCGTAGAAAAATAATAATAAAATTTATTAACTAGGTGTAATTAGCAATTTACTTTTAGATAAGTGACCCATTATTGAAATATTAGAAGAAATTGTACATTTTAAGATGTTCGTTAAAACCGTGAACTCTTATCACATAAAGTTTCATCTGTTTGATTTATATTTTCATTCGACTTTTTCTTTATTGATTTTTATGCAAGATTATTGCATATCATCCCAAATAGCATTTTGATGCATAACTAATCTCAACAGTCACAACAACAATACTCTTGGCGAAAAAAATCTAATAAACTAATATTAAATTGCAAATATCTCTTTGTTATGCTTGATATTAGTAAAAAATATGTTCTCCATTACAAATTGTCTGCTTTTAGATTTTGATAGATCATTGCTCGTATTGGATATTTGATAAATGGTTTCTAGTCGTCAATTACCAGAGTCATTTACAACAAAGCTTTCGTACTAAAGACGATCGATAAGAAATTTCATTTCCAACATAATAAGGAATATTTTAGTTGTTGTCTGCGTTTTGAAAGAACTTCAGTCATAAATATTAATAAAACTGAAATATTTATATGAACTTATTTACAATAAACTATATTTGCTAAAAATTATAAAAAGTACACCAGAAGACAAATTTTTCTTTAAATTAATAGAATCTCCAATCACCAGATTTGAAGTAGAAACCAATTTTATGAACTGAATTGAATTTTGTAAAAACTTGATGGTTTAACTATACAAATATATTTGTAATCAGTTTTTTATGTAGAAAAAAAACGCTTCAAAAGTTATTTTTTAAATGAACATTTAACATTTTTTATACAAAAATGTTCAGTAGAACGTTAGAACGAATCTACAATAGTCGTATCCTATTTTGATATCCTAGTGCACGCGGATATGAATAATGAAGACCCCATTACTAGGCAGAATTTCCAGGCAGAGTGAGGTCCCATGGGGCCCGGAATGAAATACCGAAAGCGACCTTTTCAAACGTGGTTCTACATTTTAGACTTTTAGCTCAGCGAGTTTTGAAAATCAATATTAGCGAAAATATTCCTATTTTCTTGCACCGGAAAATTTAATCGTGTATTTTATATTGCACGTGGAACACGGAAGCAATATCTAGATTAAATCCGCGTTTCCGTATTTGTAAATTATATAGCAGAGACCATAAATCTAGAAAATTGAGTAAAAGCTTATGTGGAAAGTTATATACGATTTGCATGCGGCAATCACGCTGAGTAAGGCGGAACCACTTTATGTTAATGTAATTAAATTAACTTGCCTTGTGTTTTATGTTGTTTAGTTCATAAAATGCTTTGTTGCGGTGGGTTAATTAATTATAATTATTGTTATCTTGACAGTTGTAGAGAAACATTAGTTTTTATGTATCTGTTTGAATTCTGTGACTTTTCTACTCATTTTGTAAATGATAATTATAAGTATGATATATATGCATCAGGACTAAATTTTTAGAACGTGACCACAATTTATCCACAAATGTCTTCTATCTGGTAAATTTCCATTACTATGGTTTCGTATTGGGTCGTGATAGGGACCCAGATATATCGATGTGCAGCGATGTGTAGCACATCCCATTGGATGTGTCATTAGTCAAACTCGGCTCCTCGTCCGCATTTTCCATCAGTTAGAATACTACGCGGAAACCAGGAATACTCCATCAATTCACCCTGACGATTCCAGTAATTACTCTTATTCAGTGAGAGAAGAGAGCATAGGGAAAGAGCGCACCAAGGGTCCCCGAACATCAGACTCCGAACGATGCGCTCTTTCATCCATTTTCTGGGCCAGTGAAAAATCAGAGCGATACAGGAATAAGAATTATTTTTTTTCTTCGAGAAACGTGTATAAAAGATGCTTTATTACCAATTGGAACGTTTTTTGTATGAAAATTCAATGGAAGTGAATTCAAGTTTAATGATGGATTTTTTAAAGTCCTCTTCGAATACATATATAAAGATTTCGAAAATAGATTGATCTAGATTAATAAATATATTGGTGTGCTTAAAATTTGCATAAGTAAAACTAAAATCTAGTTATTTCGTTATGAATTATATGGCATTAAATTTTTTTACAGAGTATAGACTAAAACTTACTAGAGATATGAAATAAGGTTTGTGGTTTCAAAAGAAATATTGATTTCAATTTGATTTATTGCTGCACGAGTAATAAATGAAAAATTATTTTATTGTGATCTTACCTGTAAAAAAATATATTGATTTTTAAGGTACACTTTTTGATAAATTGATTGAATTCCCAAAAGGGCATAACTTGTGAGAAAAGTCGGTTTACCATCAGGAATAGGTTCACAGAAACCTTTTCTTTCAAGTCTCCAGAGACTTTTCGTCGAAACATATATGCTTCAGAACTTCTCAATCTTTACACGATTTATATAAGCATTTAAATATTTTTTTACAATATATATGTTTGTTGCACTTAATATGCAACGGACTTTGAAACTATAACTAGATGAACTATGGAACGTAGTTTATAGTACAATTCTAAGTGAAATTATTTAACCGGTTTATTCACTTTTAGTAAACCAGACATAATAATTAGCTATTATAAATAATATATAGT